CCACGGTGCTAGCAAGCACTGAGACCCCACGTTAGCTAGCAACGGGTCTGGTGAAATGTGTTCAAGAATCTTGGATTGCAGCAAGCAGCCCCAGGAGATGCTAAGCTGGTGAAAGAGGGGGCATGATTTGAGATTTGGGGGATCCATTTGGAAGACAGATCCAGGATGGAAATCTCAGAGGTATAAAATCAGATTCCTACTAGAAAGAAATAGCAGTTTTATTTTTTCCCAAAATGGGAGCGGGCTACCTTGGGAAATAATGCGTTTCACGCTGTGGTAGGTATTCAAGTGGACAGTGGGTGGTCATTTTATAGGGTTTTTGGGAAAGGTTTGGGTTGGCTTTATTTTAAGATTTATTTATGCATTCAAGAGCTGAGGTACAGGCGGGAGGTGCAGGGGGTGAGAGGGTTCACCAGAGACAGAGTGGGGAGCAGAGCATGTGGATCTACTGAAATACACTGCTGAGGGGAGAAGCGGGGAGACAGGAGAGATCTGCTGCCTCCTGTGGTCAGTTCATGTTGCAGTGGCCTCAGGTAGCTTCATAGTGCTGCGCTTTAACCCCTGCGCTACCAGGGAGGCCCTTTGGGAAGGGTTTGAACTCGAGGGCTGGCACTTGAAAACTTCCAGCCCTGAAAGCTGATGATCTGTGGTTCTACCAGAGTAGAGAAGAAAAGAATGAATATTTTCCCAGCTTACCTTTCTATCTTCTAACTTCACTTGTTGCCTTTGAGTAGGTGCAAGCCACACCCAGTGTGATGCCTGCTCACCTCTCCACCTTCCGCCCATCCTTGTCTCTGGTTCCCTTCTCTGGTTCTTGTTATCACTCTTCTTTTGCTCATTTTATTTCTTCTAGTCAATCCTAGAAGACAGGGGCTGTGGGTACAGTTGGCAAAGAACAAGGTGTCTGGGCTTCCTGTCTGAATCTCCCTCCCAGGTTCTTATCAATTCATAACCCATGAGATGGCCACACCTCTTCCATGAAACCCCCTCTGATCATGCCTCCTCCACTGAGCTCCCAGTGTTCTGTGCTCACCCCCTCTCTCAGTCCTGAGACATACACTGCCTGGTGTCATTTCTTTGTTTTATCTTATAACATAGCTTAACTTCTCACATGCAGATCATTTTTCCTCCAGTAGAGTATAAATTCATGGAGTGAAAGACCATGAGTGAGTTTGCTTTTTATTCCCTAGACAACCTACTATTGTGCATTCATAATTATTTTGAATAGATGATTTTTACTCTCAACGTTCTGGACACAGACGCAATGAGGGTGAAAATAAAACAAATGAGCTAAAGCTGAATACAGCAAGAGGAAGTTAGTTGAGCTCTAAATGATCCATATGAGAGCGATGGAAGAGACAGAAAATGCTCTAGCCAGCCCCTTTAGTTTGGAACTGAAGCTGAGCATGTGACTGGGAAGCAGAAGGGGACCCAGACGCCAGATCTACACTGGGCCAGAATATTGTCTTCTCTTTGACCTCTCACTGCAAAACCTTTGTGACGGTACTGAAGCCAGCGAAATAATCCTACGAGTCTTTGAAAGTGAACAAGACCGTCATTTACCTGCAGGCACCAGATGACCTGACTCCCCAAGTCCCTTGAAGACTCGCGGGGAGATCCCACACTCGGCTGTCCCTTTCGAAGCGAACCGTTGCAATTGTGCCATCTAGTGGTAAGCGGTTGCTATTGCATGGGCGATCTCCAACAAAGACCGAGCAATCTGAGCGAGCCAAAAGCCTGATGCTAAATGTTGCAGAGGTGACTGACTGCTGCAAGTCTCCAAGGACTCCTCTAGCTCTGACATCTTCAGCTGCAATTTGGCAGTTGTGTTAAGGAGACTAAATCGAGACCATCTGCTGCTCAGCCAATCTCTGGCAGTGTGGAAAGCTGCTGTGAGCCTGAGCTGGGTTGTGGAGGGTGGAGATCAATTGAATGGGCAGCAACAGGGAAGAAAAGGGATAGATCAAGAGGTCATGGGTGAGGAGGAGGGATACTGGCAGTGAGGATGGAAGTCAGCCAGCAACAGCAAATGGTATTTCTAGACCAGGGACAAAGAAAGGAAGGCCTTAGAAGCTAGACCAAGGGGCCCTCCCTGGTGGTGCCAACAGGTTAGGACGCTGCACTGCAAGCTGGCCTCAGCAGTGCGAGTTCCATCCCCACCCCTGAGCTGA